TAAACTTCTTGTTCCTCAGTCACGAGCACAGGAACAGGGCGGCATTTTTTATCTACTCTTTTGTACAGCCTTTGTGACCCTTGCTTGAGCCCACCCCTAAAAAAGGCCGAGTTGCACTCAGGGGTTGGGCTCCTGCCGATCCTCCTCTCTTTCCGGGCGTCCGATATACCAGCTCCACCTCTCCTTCACCCATCTGTTCCATCACCTTTTCTCTCAAGGCCTCTACGGCCTCCATGTCCGCCATCCCATAGGTTGACACTATGTCCATAGCATCGCCTATATTGGTCAGGCTAAGAGTCGGTGCTTCCGGATTCCTTTCTTCTTCAAACTCATCTCCTCCTAGCCTCTTCCTTTCTTCTTCCGATTCCTCAATCGTGAAAGAGCTAGGATTGGGCTTATTCCTTATACTTCGTGGCCCCGTATTTTTGCATGTGATAACCTCATAGWTGCCACATATCGGGTCACATAAGACGAGGAACATTGTCCCATCATGCTTATTCAGTATGACGGTCTCCGTTCGGCTCAAAAAGGATCGGCCCAATAGGATGGGATGRTCGAGATCGGGCATCACAAAGAAACAGCTTCTCACTTTAACCTTGCCAATCTCCAAAACCACTCTCGATGCGGTCCCTATGAACACAGACCGACTATTCACTCCCATTAAAACTCCATTATCGGAGCGATCAATCTCCATCCCCAGGCATAAAGCATGCTCCTCTTTTATGAGGTTCATTTCCGCCCCAGTATCCACCATTGCCGTGCACATTTTTCCTTTTACTACTACGTCCAAGCATCCACAAGCGACGGACTTCCAATCCATCTTCGTGCCTGTCTTTGCCCATTCCGCTTCCTTGGGGATAATGGTTCCCAAGCGCACATTTGCTACTAACCTTCTGGACAATCGAGCCTTCAGCTCGTCCCTCAATTTTGGAGCGGAAGTGAGGATATCCTTTAAGTTCATTAGGTCGTTATGGCCCTCAAGGAGTCGATCGACCATTCCTTCCACGTCAAACCCCTCCTCCATTCTGACCTTATACTTTCTCTTCTTTCCCTCCTGCTCTTTATCAGYGCTCGCTTTGGCGCCCCTCTTTTTGGCTCTCTCTTCAGCCTTCTTGTCCTCTTCCTTCCTCAACTTTTCATCCTCGTCCTCGTCATMYTCTGGAATCTCTACYATCTCTTTCTCTCCACTGGGTCCCGGGCTGTCCTGAGTGGGCTGGCTTGAGTCGGGCGCTCCCTTCGATCTAGTACGTGCTGCCAAAGCCGCCCTTCCGGCTCTTGACGGCGGCCTGAAGGTCATCCCAGACCTAGGAGTTGGCGCCGTGACAGTCACTCCGGGCAGATTTCCACATCCGCCTTGTGCCCCTGGGCCTGAATCGATGAGGTACACCAATGGTAACTCTCCTTTCCACCTGTTGACCTCCTCACAAAGAGTGGTCAGCTTATCCTGGTACCTCCCGATTTTTGCCAGCAGGTCCTCCATTCTCTCCATCGTGTCTCTTGCCCTGCCGTGGCCACCATCCTGCTCGTCGTCGTCAGATTCAACCACTATAGGCTCCTCCTTTTTGGTGCCAGCCCTCAATCTCTGCTCAACCTCTTCATTCTCGCTTATCTCCTCTATCCTCACACCCTGACGGTCTTCTACTTCCTGCCAAATACGGAAAGCGGCCGGAGGAGCTGGTGGAGCTGGGGCATTTGCACGCCGCAGAGCTTCTTCCCTTATCCCTCCTGGGATTCTCGGGTCTATGCACTCACCGTACATGTCGAAAAAATCACCATCATAGCTTGAGCTCATCAGGCCATCCTTTTCATCACTCTTTCGGACCTGACATAACTTAATTGTGTGGCCCTTCTGGCCACAATGCCAACAGATGGCATTTCTCCAATCTACCCTTCCTCTTCCATATCCTCCACCACCTTGCTGGTCACTCTGACTCCCCGCACCGTTCCACCCGTCACTTCCTCCTCTCCGGGAGTTACTGTTCGCGTTTCCTCTCCCATATCCCCCGCGGCCACCATTTCCTCGCCCTCGGCCCCATCCTTGATTTTGTCCTCGTCCACCACCTTGATTCCCTTGTGATCCTTGTGGGGCCAACTGCTGAGGTTGGTTTGGCGGTGGGTTCGAGTGACTCACCTGTTGAGACTGGGGTCCCGGCCATCCACAGGAAGCCGTACTCATTGGCGCTCCGGCATATGATCCATGCGGCCCACCCGTTAGCCATGGTGCACATGAACAGTGCCCATGCCAATGACTGGGAGGTCCACAACCTGGCCATGACCCATAGGGTGCTGGTGCGGCTTGACTAGACGATTCAGGGGGTGGCGCCGCTACAGCCTGCAGGGCTTGACCTTTTCCTGAGCCTTGCCCCCCTTGAGTCGTGTTCCTTGCCTTCCTTTGAGCCTTTGTCAACTTTTGTGGTTCAGGCTCTTCTTCTTCTTCCTCCTCCTCCTCTAACACTACCACCTTCTTTCCTTTCCCTTGGGCTTGTGGCGCCGTCATAGCCTTCTTTCTTGCCTCCTTCTCTGCATCGTGCTGGGCCACAGCCTCTTCTATCATTAGCTTGAAGTTGCGCCCATCACCAGCGATAGTATCCAAAGTCTTCCTTTTCTTCCTAGCCTGTTTCATCTGGAAGATGTCTACCTGGTCCAACTCTACCTCTAGCACGCCTTCTTTTATGGCACCCCAAGTCAGTTTTTTTCCTGACGCAGCTTTCTTGGTAAGCGACGAGGCTTCCCAATTCTTAAAGTGCCCCAGGAAAGTGGCACACTGTTCTTCTTCTGCCAGCCCTGGGACTTTCTTTGCCATCTTCTCAAATGCTGTGGCAAAGGCCCCTACCGTGGAGAACTCATCCCGTCTCAACATTTCCAGGTCTTCTTTTGTGAGCAGGCCGTCCCCTAACTTGAAACGCCTCTGCATCTCCTCTTTAAACCTTGCCCACTCACCATTTGCGCCG